AAATATTTAAAAAAAAAAAAAAAAAAAGCAAGATATTCAAATAAATTCAATTTTGACTGGTAATATTACTATTCTTAACACTTCTCTCTATGACTTTATAAAAGATGAAACCCTTCGTCTCTTTTGAACTAAAATTTCCCACCTTTTCTCCTTCACTTTTCTACTTTTATTAGTGATATTATAGCCTTATGTTTGCTTTTTATAATTTAAATATTTATTTTTTGTTGTTGAGAATATACACAGCTAAACATACACCAATTCAACAGTTTCTACATATACAGCTCAGTAACATTGTTTCCATTCCTCCAACTGTGCAATCATTCTCACCCTCCTCTTCTGAGTTATTCCTTCCCCACTAAGATAAACTCACTGCCCCCTAAGGTTCCTATGTAATCTTTCAAGTTACCGTGGTTAAACTATTCATAGCAGCACCATTAGAATAGGAGCAGATGGAAAACAAATCAAATGATCATCAATAGAATGCTAGTTTAAGTATTATGGTATATCCACACAAGAAAATACGAAGTAGCTGTAAAAGAGAGTGAGGAATATTTCAACATCTTCACATATTGCTATGTAATGACCTCCAATATATGATAGTATATGAAAATAGCAGTATGGCACTTAACCTAAGAAAAGGAGAAAAATGAAATATATATATATTTACAAAAAGTAAAGAAAAATGCATTTAAAAAATTAGTCAAAATGGTTACATATGAGACGGAGGTGAAAGTTTTAGGCAATAAAAATTATCTCAGTTTTCTTAGAATATACTTAGTTTTGCAGGTTTAGCTTTGTTGTTGTTGTTAGGTGCTGTCAAGGCAGTTCTGACTCATAGCAAACCTGTGTACAACAGAATGAAACACTGCCCGATCCGGCTACATCCGCATGATCTTTGTTATGCTTGAGTCCATTGTTGCAGCCTCTGTTTCAGTGCATCTCATTGAGGATCTTCCTGTTTTTTGATGACCTCTTTTTTACCAAGCATTATGTCATTCTCCAGGGACTGATGTCGGCTAATAACATGCCCAAGGTATGTGATACGAATTCTCACCATCCTTGCCTCCGAGGAGCCTTCTGGTTATATTTCTTCCAAGACAGATTTGTTCCTTCTTTTGGCAGTCCATGGTATATTCAATATTCTACATCAACACCATAGTTCAAAGACATCATTTCTTCTTCAGTCTTCCTTAGTCGTTGCTCACCTTTCGCATGCATATGAGACAACTGAAAACATCATGGCTTGGGTCAGGCACATCTTAGTCGTTAAAGTGACAACTTTACTTTTTTAGCACTTTGAAGACATCTTTTGCAGCAGATTTGCCAATGCAATACGTCATTTGATTTACTGATTGCTGCTTCCATGGATGTTGATTGTGGATCCAAGTAAAATGAAATCCTTGACAACTTCAATTTTTTCTTCTTTTATCATGATGTTGCTTATTGGTCCTGTTGTGACGATTTATATTTTCTTTCTGTTGAGGTGTCATCCATACTGAAGGCTGTGGTCTTTGGTCTTCATCAGTAAGTGCTTCAAGACCTCTTCACCTTCAACAAGTAAGGTGTGTCATCTGCATATCACAGGTTGTTAATGAGTCTTCCTCCAATGCTGATGCTCCATTCTCTTCGTACAGTCCAGTTTCTAGGATTATTTGCTCAGCATGCAGATTGAATAGGTATGGTGAAAGGATACAACCATGACACACACCTTTCCTGACTTAAATCACTCAGTATCGCCTTGTTCTGTTCAAATGACTGCCTCTTGATCTATGTACAGCTTCCTCATGAGCACAATTAAGTGTTCTAGAATTCTCTATCTTCGAAATGTTATCCGTACTTTGTTATGATACACACAGTTGAATGCCTTTGTATAGTCAATAAAACACAGGTAAACATCTTTCTGGTATTTCCTGTTTTCAGCCATGATCCATCTGACATCTTCAATTATATCTTTCTTTCCACCTCCTCTTCTGAATCGGGCTTGAAATTCTGACATTTCCCTGTGGACGTGATGCTGCAACTAGGTTGAAATAATCTTCAGCAAAATGTGACTTGCATATAATATTAATGATATTGTTCAATAATTTCCCTATTCTGTTGTATCACCTTTCTTTGGAATAAGCAGAAATATGGATCTCTTCCAGTTGGTTGACTACATAGCTGTCTTCTAAATTTCTTGGCATAGATGAGTGAGTACTTCAAACACTTCATCCATTTGTTGAAACACCTCTGTTGGTATTCTGTCGGTTCCTGGAGCTTTGTTTTTCTCCAACTCCTTCAGTGCAGCTTGGACTTCTTCCTTCAGTACCATTGGTTCTTGATCATATGCTACCTCCTGAAATGATTAAATGTCAACCAGTTCTTTTTGGTACAGTGACTCTGTGTATTCCTTCCATCCTCTTTTGATGCTTCCTGCGTCTTTCAGGCTTTTGCCCATAGAATCTTTCACTATTGCACCTCAAGGCTTGCATTTTTTCATCAGTTGTTTCAGCTTGAGAAATGCCAAGCGTGTTCTTCCCTTTTGGTTTTCTAATTCCAGGTCTTTGCACATGTCATTACAATAATTTACTTTGTCTTCTAGAGCTGTCCTTTGGAATCTTCTGTTCATGTCTTTTACTTCATCATTTCTTCCATTTGCTTTCGGTACTCTACAGTCAAGAGCAAGTTTCAGAGTCTCTTCTGACATCCATTTTGGTCTTTTCTTTATTTCCTGTCTTTTTAACGACCTCTTGCTTTCTTCATGGATGATGTCTTTGATGTCATTCCACAACTCATCTGGTCTTCAGTCATTAGTGTTCAAAGTGTCAAATCTATTTTTGAAATGGTCTGTAAATTCAGGTGGGGTAATCTCGAGGTCGTACTTTGGTTCTCACAGACTTGTTCTAATTTTCTTCAGCTTCAACTTAAACTTATATGTTGCAACATATGGTCTGTTACACAGTCAGTCCCTGGCTTTGTTCTGACTGATGATGTTGAGTTTCTCCATCAACTCTTTCCATAGATATAGTGGATTTGATTCCTGTGTATTCCGTCTGATGAGGTCCACATGTATAGTCACTGTTTATATTGTTGACAAAAGGTATTTGCAATGAGGAAGTCGTTGGTCTCGCAAAGTTGTATCATGTGATCTCAGGCATTATTTCTGTCACCAAGGCCATATTTTCCAACTAATGATCTTTCTTCGACTCCAACTTTTGCATTTCAATCACCAGTAATTATCAATGCATCCTGATTGCATGTTTGATCAATTACAGACTGCAGAAGTTAGTAAAAATCATCAATTTCTTCATCTTTGTACTTAGTGGTTGGTGAGTAAATTTGAATAATAGTTTTATTTACTGGTCTTCCTTGTAGGTGTATGGATATTATCTTAGTACAGACAGCATCGTACTGCAGGATAAATCTTGAAATGTTCTTTTTGATGATGAATGGAATGCCATTCCTCTTCAATTTGTCATTGCTGATATAGTAGACCATCTGACTGTCTTATTCAAAATGGCCAATACCAGTCCATTTCAGCTCACTAATGCCTAGGATAGCTATGTTTATATCTTCCATTTCATTTTTGATGATTTCCCATATTCTTAGATTCATACTTTGTACATTCTACCTTCTGATGATTAATGGATATTTGCAGCTGTTTCTTCTCATTTTGAGTCCTGCCACACCAGCAAAGTGGGTCCCGAAAGCTTGACTCCATTCATGTCATTAAGACTGACTCTACTTTCAGGAGGCAGCTCTTCTCCAGTCGTTTTTGAGTACTTTCCAAACTGAGAAGCTCATCTTTCAGCAGTCAATCAATGTTCTACTGCTATTCATAAGGTTTTCACTGGTTAATTTTTTCAGAAGTAGACAGCCAGATCCTTCTTCCTGGTCTGTCTTAATCTGGAAGTTCAGCTGAAACCTGTCCATTATTGGTGACTCTGCTATAATTTGAATACCGGTGGTATAGCTTCCAAAGTCACAGCAACATGCAAGTCCCCACAGGAGGACAAACTGACAGACAGATGGCAGGGGGTGGTTAGCTTTGGTACCATGTAAATGTTTCCAATAAAACAATTAAAATTGAAAATAAAATGAAACAAATGAATCTAATTGTCTCTCAAGTCTGTGGCTTCACCAGAGAAAATTATTTCAAGTAAATAGAAAGCTCAGTACTTTGACTTTATATCTCTTGTGGGATAAATCCTAGGGACATACACACAACTGTAAAGAAATCAAAGTTTTCAATAATCATACTGACAGTCTTAACGTTATTGTTGTTGTTGTGTGCCATTGAGTCGATTCCAACTCATAGAGATCACACAGGAGAGAGTAGAACTGCCTCATAGGGTTTGTTACGCAGTAATCTTTACAGGAGCACATTGCCAGCTCTTTTCTCCCTTGGTGTAGCTGCTGGGTTTCAACCACCAACCTTTCAGTTAACAGATGAGCACTTAAACATTGTACCATCATGGCTCCTTTTAATATTGGTGTTGTTATTCTAATGTGTGAATATTACTACATATGGCTGGTATAAAGCAAATAATTAATTATGTTAATGTTGTTAGGAACCCAAATTTTCAGAGTGAAAGAAAATTGCCACAAATATAAAATCAAGCAAGAATCTCATATTCTAAACTGAATTTGAAATACTAGCATGAATTGTAAACAAATAATAGTGATGGTTGCACATTGTGAGTGTGATTTATGCCACTGGATTGTACACTTGAAAGTGATTTAAATGGTCAAATTTAAGTTGTGTCTATTTTACCACCAAAAAAAAATCAATTTGTCTAGTTTGTAGGCATGGTGCCTTCACCAATGTCACTGATTTAGATGGGACCTCAGGACCATAACTCAAACCTGACAAACCAAAATATGCTGCCACCCAGTTATCAGAAACCACCAACAAATCACAAAGCCTAGTGAGTTTAGTGAGCTACTAGAATATTTTTACTTTCACAGAAATATTTCCTTAATGTTGCCTTCTACAAACCTCGGGGACCAGTATTTCTGATAACTCAGTGGCAAGCGGGCTGCCACAGGAATTTCCACATCAAGAAACTTTACCTGGAATACATGTGCTGAGAGGCTGGGTGCCCTCTTCTTAAATCTGGAACACAGATTTTACGGACAGAGCCAACCAACAGGGTAAATTTAAGGGTTTCCTTTTCGTGGTTGTTCTCATTGCTGTTGCTATTTTCTCTCTCTTTTTAATTTTGGTAATTAAATCTAAATATGTTCCTCTTGCAGGAAGCTGAATATTTGAAAATTCAAATGATAAGAAAGAAAAATTGTAGGTGGAGGTTTGGGGTAGAAGCGACTTTCTTGATAAAAAAATTGGTAAGAAATTTCCTTTGAGTAAAATATATTCCTCATGTTCTATAATTTCATGTTGAAATTTTTATTTTCCTGAACATGCTTAAACAAAATGTCATAATGATTATATTTTTTCTACTCCAGTAGAATTTTAAACCGTGAAAATTACTCTTCCAATGGAAACTGGGGAGACCTTTTTGTTAAAACCACTCATCAAAGGTAACTGGCTGTCATATTAAATTTCAGCTTGCAGTGGCAGAGCAAGAAGCAAGAATATGAGATCTTTTTTTTGTCTCAATAGCTTACTGTTGCCATTTACTATTTTTGCCATTTTGCCCAGTGGAAGATATATTTTTAGCTTACTTGCTTACAAACTGTTCATTATATGAGGTCAAGGAAATAGAAAGAAATTTACAAAGTACCTCTGACGGTCGTGATAAAGCCAATTTAATGTCAAGGTATCTTATTCTCATTAAAATAAAAAGTAAGGATTGATTTTTACAACCTTGAGAATGTGATTAGTGTCAAGGAAATGATACCTTTTTAACATGAGTCGTAATTCTTGGTACCATTTATCATGACACTAATAATTGCTGGAAGTTTCACCTGCTTCTCTCTTGCTGTGACTCCACAAGTCTGAGTTTTGAATTCCAAGTCTCTTAACTTTTGGTAGTAAAGTGACACTCCGATAACTCCACCACTTCTACATTTATTAGAAACTTTGATTTGAGGGGGTGTGTGTGTGTGTTAATGATATTATGATAGCCTGTGAATAGCTTTAAGTCTGAGATTTCTTTATTAAGCTCTCTAAGGAAGTAAACCACAGTTCAAAAATGGAATAACCTGTGTTATAGAAAATAATTTGTTATCCAAATTAACTTCTTGTGATGCATCTCAGAAAGAGGGTATTAGAAAGAACCTACAATAGAATTTGGTCTTTGATTGAGTAATTTGGGGGGGAAATCTAAGGATATGAGAATTTACTCTAGAATTTGCTGTTAGAAAGTAGGGGAATTCTATGACTCAGTGTTTCAATAAATCTTATCTATACTTTTCCAGTTACATCCTATTGGCTTGAACTTAATCAGCAACTTCAAATCTGGCTCGAAGGGTGGCTGGGACATGTAGTGTTTATTCTGGGCCCAGCTAAAAGACAGGGCTTTAATTACCTAAATCTGAAACCAAACCAAATCCTTTGCCGTCAAGTTGATTCCCACTCATAGCCACCCTATAGAAGGGAGTAGAACTGCCTCAGAGGGTTTCCAAGGATTGGCTGTTGGATTTGAACTGCCAACCTTTTGGTTAACAGCCAAACTCATATCCACTGCACCACCAGGGCTTCCTAAAGCTGAAAAGGAGAGTGAATATTAGGGAGAAAGGCTCTTCTGTAGCTTCTCAGTAGTATAATCGCTGAATGAAAGTTAACCTTTTGCCCTTGAAGCCCTTCTTCTACGAGGCAAATTGTTTTCAGAATGATTCTACCACTCGATACTTCCACAAGTGGTGCAGGAGAGAGCCTGACCCATCACATCCATGCCAACCCTGAATACTAAAATAAATCTTAGCAGTTTGATAGGAGGGAAAAATACTCATGTGGTATTACTTTGACAATAGAAAGGGCTAAACAGTTTCACATATTTGCTGGTCATTTCTGTTTTTTCTTTGTGAATAATCTGTCCTTGTCTACTTTTAAATTCATAATCAGCTACTCATAGCATCCCGTAGGGGCAGGGAGATTTTTTTCTTTCAGTAATGAAGATTAAAAACATCCTAGGTTTACAGAAAACCTTATCATGGAGGAAACACCATTGAAAAGTAAACAACAAATTTTGCTTACTTTTCTTATGATGAGAAACTTAGATTCAAACGGGACTCTGTCTGGTTGTAGCAGCAAACCAGAAAGAATGGAAAATAGCATCAGTACAATTAACTAGGTTTTTGTAATGCCTTGGAAACAATTAAATCACTGACCTTTTAGCCCTTTTAAAAATGACTCCTGTCTAAGACAGGGTAATAGTGTGACAGCTGTGCTTCAGATCAGTGTGTGGAGAAAGGTTAATATATGTGTGGCGACAGGCATTTCAAGCTTCTTCACAGTGGTGACAAGAGGAAATGACATAATTAAAATGAGACAATTCTCACAATTATTACTAGGTCCTGCATTTAAATGTCACCGTAACTCAGATTATTCTAATTAAAATTTCAAGTTGGACCTGGTATAAATACTCAACTTGCTTTCAAAATATACATTTTTACTTCATAGTCAAGCTGATGTTAAGCAGCATATTTTCTGCTTTAATTATTGCCACAAACAGCATGTATTTATCCTTTAATTATAGATATCTGAGCACTGCCAGCCTCCACTACCTCAGCAGCAGGCAAGCCTTGGCTGACATCGCCAACTTCCGAACTGAAATAGCAAAGAAACGGGGACTCTCCAAAAATAAATGGGTTACATTCGGCAACTCTTATGGTGGTTCCCTTGCAGTGTGGTCGAGAATAAAACACCCCAACCTGTTTGCTGCAGCAGTGGGCAGCAGTGCACCAATTCAAGCAAAACTTAATTTTTATGGTGAGTATTATCTATGTATGGGAGTCCCTGGGTGTGGCAAAAGGTTAATGCCCTCAGCTGATAACTGAAATGCTGGAGGTGCAAGTTCACCCAGAGGCACCTTGGAAGAAATCTGCTCTCTGCTTCCGAAAATCAGCCATTGAGATCCCTATGGACAACAGTTCTACTCAGACACACATGAAGTCATCATGAGTTGGAATCAGCTTCACAGCAACTGGTTTAGTTTTTATGGTATAAATAAATAAATATAAATATAGATGTAGTATTTATACACATACATATAATAAGAAAAGTATCAGTATGTCAGTGATTACCATAACAAGCATGGTTTAATAACGCAGGGTCACCCAGCTAGACCTAAGTCTATCTCCTTCCCCATATGATAGGATTCCAAGAAGGATGTATATGTTACCCACAGTTGGTACTTAGTACCCATATTTACAGCCATATGATGGGTGATAGCTTCTTAAAGGGTGGAAATCAACAGTCTTAGGTTTCATGATATAGCTATTTCCAAAGAAGTAAAGGACAAGCTCTTATTTCTGAAGGACAAAAATTTCCTACTTTGAAGTTGCCTTTCAATTTTCCTTCCTTCTATCTGACTTTATGATAAACCATTTATAACTAATGGCCTCAGGATTTTTCCAGGTAAACACTTGTGATCGGCAATTTGGGCCTCTGAATACGTATTCCCATTAAAATGCTTAAAGTATAAAATTTTTAATAATTTTTTCTTGTAAAAACAAAAATAACCTCCCTCCCCCCAAAAAAGGAGGTAAATTTTCCATTAATATTTGAACTTTTCAAAGGTTAACAAATATTCAGTCATCGTTCCAGTTCAGGTACCTGTAGCTTTGATACAATCTTATCTGGTCCAATAAATCTGAAGGCTGTAACACTGAGGCATTTCTCTCCCTTCCTCTTTTAACAAGTAGAACCATGTTCCAGTTGATGAATACATGAGGATTTGCGGAGCATGGTTGTAAGTCATTGTTTACTAGTGATTTTTATTGGCATTCTGGCAAAATCATTTAATTTTTCAGTTTCTTAACTTTGTCATATTTTAAAACAGAGGTAACTGCAAACTTGAAAGAATTATATCTTATAAATGGTTGCAATTAAACCATACTCAATGTCCTTTTTTCTTTTTCATATTCTTAGAGTACAATGGAGTAATTGGAAGGATTCTGTCCGCTCATAACAGCGAATGTCCCAAAGCAGTGAAAGAGGCGTTTGCTATTCTTGTACAGATGCTGAAACGTCGGAAACACTACAGTAAGGTTGAAAAGGATTTCATGTAAGTGGACTGGTTTGTGTGTAAGAGAGTCTCTGCTTAAATATAGCCTGATATTTCCTTAAATTTACATGATTAATGTCATTTTCTTATGTTAAGGCTAGTTACATGAAAAGAAAGGGAGATTTTGAACAGTTTAGTTCCTTTTGAATATTATTTATATTAGCAATTTCTAGATCATATAAGAAGCATGGCTGGGACCTCTGTGGATACTTTTAAGTCTGGTGGTAGTGCAGATCAGAGGGCAAGAAAGAGTGGATACTACCCTTGCGGTCCTCAGGCAGTCAAGGGGCACCATAAAACACTTCCCCTGGAAAGGAGAAGCAACTCAAGAGGAGCAGAGGCCCTGAAAACAAATCTAGTCATTTCTGTGAAAAAAAGCATGGTGAGGTTTTCCACAAAGTTTCGACTATAAAAATATACTGTGGTATTGGAGAATTTCAGGAACTGAATAAAAACGTTTTTGTGTTTGGATTTTTTTCCCCCTGTTGAATAAGGCAACCTATGTTGTTTAAGATCTAGACTAGAGATTTCTTTAATAGTGGTTGTTGCTGGTAGGTTAGGTGCCATCCAGTTGGTTCCAACTCATACTGACCCTGTGTACTACAGGATGAAACACTGTGTGGTCCTGCATCATGCCCACAATCCTTGTTATTCTAGAGCCCGTTGTTGAAGCAGCTGTGTCAATCCATCTCGTTGAGGGTCTTCCTCTTTTTTGCTGACCGTCTGCCTTACTAAGCATGATGTCCTTCTCCAGGGACTGACCCCTCCTGACAACATGTCCAAAGTATGTAAGACATAGTCTCACCATCCTTCCTTCTAAGGAGCATTCTGGTTGTTCATCCTCCAAGACTGATTTGTTCCTTCTTTTGGCAGTCCATGGTATACTCAATATTTTTCACCAACACCACAATTCAAAGGCATCAATTCTTGATGATAGTGGAGGATGTTCTTTTTTGAAAGTAGGAGAGTCCCCAGGAAAGGGGATTTGGGAAAAGTAGATAAGCTATAAATGAAGCATAAGAAATTATGACATTTGCCTTTACCTTGAAGAATGGAACAATAGATGAAGTGGGAGACAGGCACTCAAAGAAATCACGTCTTTTACTCTTAGTAGTACTTAGACTAGAGGAGAAAAAAAGGGATAGTGAAAGCCTAAAGATTAATATCATACCAAACCAAGTATTGAAGAATGGGTGAGGGGAAATTTTGGAACCTTCAGAGAATTTGAGGGGAGGAATCACAATTTTGCTTGAAGGTCTCATATTAACCATGTTGTTGTTAGCTGCTGTTGACTCATGTCGACCCTATGCACAACCGAACAAAATGCTGATCTTTCCTGTGCCATCCAATGATCGGATGCAAATTGGACAGCTGTGATCCATAGGGTTTTCATAACCATACTCACCTTCTTTAGCTTCCCAGGTGCTAAATTACGATGTTGATAAAACTCACCAGCAGGGGGAGCCATCACCTTAAGTTTCCCTTTTGTGGCTTGTAAAGATCATCTGACCGTTAACAGTCAAATCAAAAGCTTTTATGTTTCTGCAGACTTATTGTTCTCTTGTTGTTGCCAGTGGATTTCGAGTTGATTCAGCTCATGGAGACCTCACATGTGCAGAATAAAACTGCTCCATAGGGTTTTCGAGGCTGTGAACGTAAGTTAATGAAATAATTTAGGTCTCTTGATCATGGCCTTCAGTATGAATTACACCTCAACAAAAAGATAGCACAAATCCTCACAACTGGACCAATAAGCAACATCATGATAAATGAAGAAACTACTGAAATTTTCAAGGTTTTCATTTTACGTGGATCCACAGTCAACACCCGAGGAAGCAGCAGTCAAGAAATCCAACTACATATTGCACTGGGCAAACCTGCTGCAAAAGACCTCTTCAAAGAGTTGAAAACCAAAGACGACGTCACTTAGAGGAATAAGGTGCCCCTGAACCAATCCATTGTATTTTCAATCTCCTCATATGCATGTGAAAGCTGAACAATGAATAAGGAAGACCAAAGGAGAATTGATGCCTTTGAATTATGGTGTTGGTGAAGAATATTGAATACACCATGGATTGTCAGAGGAACAAAGAAATCTGTCTTGGAAGAAGTACAACCAGAGTGTTCCTTAGAAGGGAGGTTGAGGAGACTTTGGACATGTTATCAGGAGTGGCCAGTCCCTGGAGAAGGACATTATTTTTGGTAGAGGGTCATCGAATAAGACGAACACCCTCAGTGAGATGGAGTACCCCAGTGGCTGCAACAATGAGCTGAAACATAGCAACAATTATGAGGGTGGTGCAGGATCCAGCAATTTTTCTTTCTGTGTTACATTGGGTCTGGATTAGTCAGAACATACCTGATGGCACCTAACAACAGCAATCATGTCACTAGATTGGTTGTGATTCTAACAAGATGGAAGCAGTGGCTTTCTTTCATCCTCACCTGCTCTCTTCTGTCCATGAAGATCTACTCCAGGCAAAGCCCTCACAAATGCCAAATTTGTCCACAAGGGGGCAGGAGAAGATCATATAAAAGGGTTGACAGACATCTAATACCTTGCATGGGAAACCATCTCAACACAATTGGCCAATGGAAAGTCAAGACATTTGTTTCTTTTAAATCTAAATCATTCAGATTTTATTATGTATAAATTTTAAATGCTGTTTAAGTAAGAAAGTCTTCAAACCTTAACTATCAATTATATAGTTTACCTTCAGACTGCAGAATTAATCTTGGACACGTTTGTTACTATATATTCTAACATTCCGCTAACTCATTAATGGATAATTTTTTTAAAGGCTTTTCCATTTATTTCACTTTTCTGTTTGCTTCACTTTTCTGTTTGCTTCACTTTTCTATTCATGTTCTTCAAGGGCATCAGTCCACTATAAACGCCTCCTGGGAAACTCAGCATGTTTGCTCCATTCAAGTCTAGTCAGCCGTCCTGTGTGAGCCAGAACTTTCAGGGAGAGTACCACCTGCTCCAGTCCTGAACCCTGCCTGATGTGCATGCAAACACTAGGGACACAGCTGCCATGTCCCTGTTTGCTTCTCTGCCCAGACACTGAAACCTAGCACCCTGGGGCTCAGCAGGTCCCCCAGCCTCAAAGTTCTTCAGGTGCTCAGACTGTGACATCCCCTCCCCTGTACCAAGAATGGAGTGGAAGTTTCCAGAACTCTCTTGGCTTCCTGATTCTGAGCTCCAAAGGTAGAAACTCCTGCAAATGCACTTCCACCCCACCCCCAGCCTGAGCTGGAATCTGATTCAGGCTTAGTTTACCTCAAAGCATACTAGGTGAGAAACCCTGGACCAGGGCTCAGAAGAGTGGGTTATAGAGCTACTATGTTTGTGTGACTTAAACAGCTGAAGTTCTTTGCTGCAGAAAGATTTCTGAATCTTTCTATGGGCCTCAATGAAACTTTCTTAGCTTTTCTCCCCACTGTTTTTGCTCTCTCCTTTTTCTTCTGTCTCTTCTCATAGCCTTTCCTCCATTCTAGCTGTAATAAAACATTCAGGAGACACTTGACATACTAAGGCAACAATCCTCAACCCTAGATAGAGGTTACACTATAGGATGCTTTCTTAACATACAGAACTCAGCACTCCCTCCTCACACCACATACCTACTGAATTAGACGTCATTATTTCTAGAAAGCTCAAGGGCACGTAAGCAGGTTGACAACTATGGAAGAAAGGGAATAGATTCAGGAGAAATGCATTCCCTGTAAAACGAAGGCTTAACTATCAAGTCAATACAAGGAAGGCAAAGGTAACTACACCAAAGAAAGGAAGGCTGGCAACAGGATGAGTTAGATCTTTTCTCCTCACTAACTACAACTGCCTTATATATATATAATTTTTTTTATTTTGTATTTTTCTTCCGTTTTTCCTCTTTCCTCCTCCTCCTGGGTGGAGTAGAGAGACAAATGAATGTCAGAGTGAAGACACCTGGTCTGGGCTGGGCTGGGCAGGACTGGGGGGACTCCACAAAAACAGGAGGCTAAAGATTGCAGGCAGAGTGACAAGCCCTGACACTCCAACTTGGACACTGGCACCCCAGGCTGGCAGAACACAGAGGAAGCTTTCCAGGGGCATGGCATCTATTCTCAAGGCCCTGGGCACTATTGCTAAGTAAAAAAATTTCTTCTCAACAACCTCTCTCCTTTCTGCAAGCTAAAATCCTTTGCCTCTTAAATATCTGCACTTGCTAAAGTTCCCTCCCTCCAAAACTATCCCTTTCTTCTTCTAATTCTCAAAGAAAAACTTATTCCCTGAGACCTAATTACTGATAAGACCTAAAACCTTGATTTGACACTTGGTAATTGGTTACTTTTGTGAGGTAATATGTATGATCAGTGTTGGCATGCCAAAATGTCCCCATACTTTAATATCTTACTAGAAATGAATAAATTAAACTATTTTAGAAGCTTGATTACATATTTATCATTAGCTGAAATGATAAATATATATATATATGCACATAGAGGTATACATACATATACAAGTTTGTTAATAAAGAAATTTCATGGAGCTGAAAATTTGTAAAACAAGGTCCACAGTAATCAGTAAATTCATAGATTCCCAGAAGCTACTCAGTCAGCAGCAGGCAACACCCTTACTTTCAAAGATGATTCCACAAAACAGAAAGGTTAAGTGATTTTGCTCAAAATCACAGAAGAAGCATCAGCACCAGGACACAACTGAGGTATCTGGCTTTCAATCTAGTGGAATTTCTAATCAAAGTCATCTCATCACACACACTGAAATGTAGCAGAGTTAATTCTTAAGTAATTGGAGGTTTTGTGGAACTTGACTGTTTAAGTGTATACTTACTGCAATAAAGTAATTGTAGTTATTAAGCAAAACTACTTGTTATAAAAGCTACATGGAAATGCTTTTTTATGTAGAAGTCACAAATACCACATCACATTTTCCTTCTTCCCTTTCTCCTCCGTCCTCTTTCTTTTCTTCCTTCCCTCCTTCCTTCCATCCACTCATGCATCCACCCATACATCCATCCATTCATCTATCCATCTAGCCATCCATCCATCCATTCATCCATCATATACACTGTGATAGGCATTGGGTATATAATAGGGAGAAAAAAATGGACATCATACCTAACTCTCATGGAATTTCCAGTCATGTGAAAGAGATGGACATAAATCAGATATCTGCAATAAAACTTAAGATTACAACTACAAACTAATGTAAGTTCTCTAAAAAAAAATGAACAAGATATTGTAAAATTTTAGAGTAAAGAAAACTAAGTTAGCATGAGCATGGGGTAGTTAGACTTCTCCAAGTATATGATGTTTGACCAGCTCTCTGAAGAATAGGATCTAGATAAAAATGGCAAGAGGCAAGCAGAGAACATTCCAGAGAGAGCAGCAAGGCAAAATCCCTGTAATGAGAGGACCTGAATAGAAGCCCATATGACTGTAGAGCAGCCGAAATGGGGAGGACATGTGAGCTGAAAGTGAAAGTTTAGGCCAGACTGGACTCTAAAGAACCTCTTAGGACACTGGGTGGGAAGCCACTGGCTGGTCTAAAGCTGTGGACTATGATGTTGTAATTACTAAGCTTTTTCTTATCAAAAGCCTCTGATATTACAGAACAAACTAATTTCTGTAAAAGAAAGAACAATTTAAAAAATACGAAAGAAGGAAAATGTTATACATTCTAAAAAAAAAAAACTTCTAATATTAGAGCTACTGTGTAACGAACATGATAATAAGTTACCTTAGTCCTTTGGGCCTCAGTTTCCTCATCTATAAAATGATAGAGTGTTAGTACAGTCACTTCCAAAAATTCTGAGATTATATCTGTGTTTTCCAACTACCAGTTAATTATGCCAAGCTCTGCCTCTAGAAAATGAAGGCCTGATTTATTTAAACTTAAACAACAAAAAAAGATTTAGCATTTAATAATTATGTTAAAATATGTTTTCCTAGACTCATAGAATAGCTAGACTGCTGTGAATAGTAGGTTTAGTGTACCCACAAGACCCAAAGACATGTGGTGATGTTTAACATACAGATTTCTGGGTCTGTCCCTGTTGTTCTTAGGTGCCATCAAGTTGCTTTGATTCATAGCAATTCTATGTATAGCAGATCAAAACATTACCTGGTCCTGTGCCACCCTCACAATCATTGCTTGAGCCCATTGTTGCAGGCACTGTGTAAATCTATCTCCTTGAGGGTTGTCTTAGTCATCTAGTACTGCCATAACAGAAATACCACAAGCGGATGGTTTTAACGAAGAGAAGTTTATTTCTTCACAGTAAGGTAGGCTGAAAGTCCAAATTCAGGGTGTTAGCTTCAGGGGAAGGCTTTCTCTCTCTTGGACTTCTCCATCAATGTTCCCCTGGACTAGGAGCTTCTCAGAGCAGGGACCCCGGTCCAAACGCACTCTGTTCCCAGCACTGTTTTCTTGATGGTATGATGTCCCCTTGTATCTCTGCTCACTTCTCTTATATCTCAAGAGATTGCCTCAGGACACAATCCAGTCTTGTAGATCCACTCCTGCCTTACTAACAGAACTGTCACCCATCCTCCCTCATTAACATCATAGAGGCAGGATTTACAAAATATAGGAAAATCACATAATGCCAGGAATCATGGCCCAGCCAAACTGATATACACATTTTTGAGGGACATAATTCAGACCATGACAAGGGTCTTCCTCTTTTTCACTGACCATCTACTTTACCAAGCATGATGTCCTTCTCCAGGGGCTGGTCCCTCCTGATCACATGTCCAAAGTATGTGAGACGTAGTCTTGCCATCCTTGCTTCTGAGGAACATTCTGGCTGTACTTTTTCCAAGACAGATTTGTTCATTCTTCTGGCAATCCATGGTATACTCAGTATTCTTCACCAACATCATAATTCAAATACATCAATTCTTCTTTGGTCTTCCTTATTCACTGTCCAGAATGCTCCTTGTAAAGGCGGATAGCAAGACTTGTTTTATGTACTTTGGACATGTGATCAGGAGGGACCAGCCCCTGGAGAAGGACATCATGCTTGGTAAAGTAAAGAGTCAGTGAAAAAGAGGAGACCCTGAAAGAGATGGATCGACACAGTGGCTGCAACATTGAGCTCAAGCATAACAACGATTGTGAGGATGGCACAGAACCAGGAGGTGTTCAGTTCTGTAGTACATAGGGTTGCTATGAGTCAAAACTGACTAGACAGCATCTAACAACAGCCTCCTAAACTGTGAGAGAATAAATTTCTGTTTGTTAAAGCCATCCACTTGTGGTATTTCTTTTCTAGCAGCACTAGATAACTAAAACAGGCAGTGACCTCCTCCTGTTCTTTCTTCTTTGGGTCCTAAATTTCATTCACCTAAATGCTGTCATTGTGCTTTGGTTAGTCCCCTGTCAAGGGAGAGGTATTTTCAGTCCTCACTGCGTGTTTACTAGGTGTCTGACACTGAGCTATTTCTTCTTCCTTCACAATGTACTCACACTGCTAGGCACCGTGTCCCCAGCCATCATCAACAGAATAGATGGGCTCAGAGATTAGGCTCCTTTCCCAAGATTGGAGATGGGGGAAGAATCCCTGCAGAACTCCATGCCATGTTAACGACTATGGGGAGAGGCCTAAGATTCAAACACAGCAGACTATTTGTAAACACTATATGCCTTGGGTAGGCTGAAATAAAGTGTCAGCGGCAAAATGGATAATCCTTGTTATTCCTCCCTATAATCTAAGACTTCCTCAGCATCTTTATTTTGGTGTTAGTGACCTGCTAATATATACTGTGTGTGTACGTATGTGTGTGCGTGTGTGTGTGTGTGTGCACATGTGGTGACGTAGGAATGGGATCAATATGTGTATACTGTTGGCCAGTATAATTGGAAAGAGCATTAAGTATCATTTTAATCTGTATTAATTATATATTACAGAATCTTTCCTTAAAAATTGAGTCTCATGCAATCTTAAATTTTCAGAGATAACTCTTGATCAAAATGGTCACAGAATTTTTGTGGTTCAATGGGTTGACTAAAATGAAAGTATTTTGATAACAGTATTATTACACAAATGCTCGATGGAATTATTTTCACAGATATATTTTGCAAACTTAGAAGTAGTTACCATAACTTATTCCTCCTTCCACAGTATAAACTTTCTGAAGAAATCTAGTATTCCTTCATTTTGGACTATTTTCTACATTTGGGGTTTGAAGTTCAAGTGAAATTGACTTCACTCATGTTTTCTTTACCACAGGTTACGTGAACCTATCAAAATTAACTCACCAAAGGACACAGCCTTTCTCACGGTGCATATGATACATCTTGTTCATTTCTTTGTTCATAAACAGATTAACAAATTTATTAAGGTAAGAAAATGAAGAAAGAAAGGGGTGAAAAGTTATGGAGAAAGAAAGAAAATCTCAAGCAGGCATTCAGTAGTTATCTAGTTGTCATAAATTAGCTGTAGAGAAAGATGTTTGGGTGTTTCTTTAAAAATTAAAATCATGCATACAAACCTCCAGTCTGAGTACCAAACTAAATGATGAAACGTGTGCTACCAAATTATCTTAAACTCCAACAACTTCCTCTTCTTACTCATCTTTTATTCTAAATGTACTCAGAAACTCTTTTAAAATAATAGAATAATGGATTCACTGTAGGCCAGAATTCAACTATTTCATTATAGTCTTTTATTTCAAGAACTTGAGAAAGTTATCCTATTAAGTATGAATACCCTGAAATTAACCTATTGAATAGTAACAATTAAACAATTATAAGCAGATAGAAAGGAATCGAATTATGTCTTGTGTAGACTGAAGAGTAAGACATGGTGAATTTTTGGATTTGAATATATCTCAGATGCAGGAAATTTAAATGAAAATTTGAATATAGGATTTTTTAGCTCTTTTGCACTGGGTCATGGAATAAGACAGGTTTTGAAATGGAAAATTTGTGAACTTTGCTATAGCTAGAAAAATAACTTTTTGGGGGATTAGGGAAATGCTTCTTTTTTTTGTTTGTTTTCAGGAATGTCAGAGATTAAGGGACATGTCCCTGAAACTGAGGTACCTAACCAAGGCAGCCTCACCCCAAAGGTCACTCTGTTCTAACCCAGCCTGGTAAACTGCCAAAGAGAGTAAGGACAAGAACATTTGTCTGATAGAACAAGGAAATGGAAATGATTTGCAACTTGCATTGACATTTTTTTAAATTATTTTATTTTGAACTAATTATGGACTAACGAGCAATTACACAAAGTATACTGAGAAGTCTCATGTTCCTTTCATCCAGCTTTATCCAATATTAGCATCTTATATAACTACAGTACATTATAAAAACCAATCTACATTGTCGAAATATGGTTAACTAGACTATAAATCTTACTTGGAGCTCAGCAATTTTTACATGCACGTTTTGTGTTTGTGTAAGGCTTGATAATTATGAGTTAAGAACATTTCACACAAGTTCCCAAGGTCCTAATGGGCAATGTCTCTAACACTTCCCCTTCTTCCCTCCCTCTTTCTCTCCATTCCTTCTCACAGTCTGTCTCTCTCTTCCTCCCTTGCTTCCAGCCTGCCACACTGAGTACCAGTTTAGTGCCAGGCACTGTGCTGTGTGTTGGGGAAACATTGGTGAAGACAGACCATTTGGGCCATGCCCTCCTTCATTGTTATCCTTCCCCTATTTTCATTGAGATCCTTAATAGGCCTTTCCGTTGGTCCTCCAGTCTCCTGTCTCCCTCCAACCCACTCTTTCCCCTACAAAGTTCTAGATCAATCTTCCTAAAGCACAAAAAACCGAACCTGTTGCCATCGAGTTGATTCCGACTCACAGCAACCCTATAGGACAGAGGGGAACTGCCCCCACAGTTTTCAAGGAGCAGCTGGTGGATTCAAACTGCTGACCTTTTGGATAGCAGTCTGATGTCTCAACCAGGACTCCTTCCTTGCTAAAGAACCTTTAAAAAACTCTTCTTCATCAACAGGATGAATTACTACAACATATGTACAGTCTGCCGTTACAGGAAGTCCCCCTCTTCCAGTGTTCATAACTTCTGTTCTAGCCAAATTCTACAATTTGCTGCTCTGGTACTATCTTAGTTATCTAGTGCTGCTATAACAGAAATACCAGAAGTGGGTGGCTCTAACAAAGATAAATTCATTTTCTCACAGTATGGGAGGCTTGAAATCCAAATTCAGGATGCTGGCTCTAGAGGAAGGCTTTTTCTCTCAGGAGGAAGATCCTTGACTCTTTGAGCTTCTGCTCCTGGGTGATCCTTATGTGCCTTGGCATCTTTCTTCCCCCATCTCTGCTTTTTTTTTCCCTTGTTTGTTTAATCTCTTTTATATTTCAAAAAAGATTGATTTAAGATAGACCCTAATCCTGTCTCATTAACATAACAAACATAACCTAATCCTCATTAATATAACCTAACCCTACTTCATTAAAATAACAAACACAAATGGAAATATAACCACAGACAAAGGTTAAGATTTACAACATATTTTTTGGGGAAACTCTATCCAATCCATAACAGGTACTCACCTGTACCTCCTTTCTCCTCATGTTACCCTAGCCTTCTTGAATGCCCTTCATGACTATTCCCATCAAAATACATTAAGTGCATTTTAAAAGCCACCTCCCCCATGAAATCTCTCCTCATTGCTCCAAGCAGATGCACCCTCTACTTTCTTTAACCATTTCTCCCCACTCCCAGTATTTAATTTGTGATCTTATTGTATTGTCCTTGGAAACTCTATGGGGCAGTTCTACTCTGTCCTATAGGGTCGCTATGAGTCGAAATCGACTTGACGGCAAGGGGTTTATTGTATGTATTTTTCTCTACCTCATTTGGCATCCTATGGGTACATTCCTACTACTAGATCATAGCCTCCTTTAGAAGAGAGACTCTACCTGGCTTACGTTCGGTTTTTTATTGTTTGTTTGTTTGTTCATTTGTTTTGTTTTTGTTTTTCATTTTTTATTTTTATTTTTATTTTTTTTGAGTATCTGGAGAAGGAACATTGGTTTGAGTCAAGATAGATTTCCACTTCCTCCTCCCCACTTTCTGCCTCTTGTTAGCTATGTGACTCATAACAGGATACCCCATGAGGTAGGCTTTCCTAGCTCCAAGACTCTTGAGACTAATGCATCTACATCATGGAACATTGTAGTAGTTTCCTAGTGTTACTTTAACAAAGTACTATAAAGGAAATAATAAATAAATAAATAAATAAACAAACCTGTTGCCATCGAGTAGATTTCAACTCATAGTGACTTTAGAGGACAGGGTAGAACTGCCCCGTAGGGTTTCCAAGGAGCAGCTGGCAGATTTGAATTGCTGACCTTTTGTTTAGCAGCTCTAGCTCTTAACTACTGCGCCACCAGGTGGTTTTAAACAACAGAAACTTAGTGTCTCACACTTCTGTAGGCTAGAAGTCATTAGGATCATGTTCTCTGCGAAGGATCTAGGGGTGCTCCTTTCTTGTCTTTCTCAACTTAATGGGGTTTAGCTCTATTTTTCTACATTTGCTGGTGGAATTAGGGTGGAGTGTGATTGAAAAGCCAAGCCACAGTCTGCAGTTAAGTCTACAGTTAATGTGAAAACTAAGTGACTAACTTCTCTCAAAAATAGGGAGGCTAAGTTTCATTTCTCAGCGTCTACCAGGCCTAACAAAGCTTCGATGTACTGCTCAGCTGAAAAGACACTACACTGCTTCCTAATTAGAACCATATGGTCTGTTTCTGTCAAGAGGGAGTATTATAGTGTCAGATCATTCCTTCCTTTTCCCCCAAATGAAAACCAAAACAAAACAAAAAATCTCTACCACCACCCCACCCCACACTCTGGAATTAGATGTGTCAGCATGCCATAATAATGTAATATCATTGCTAAAATGGGTGTGCAGAAGAGATATTCCCAGTTCCCTAATTAGTATGCCACTAGCAATACCATTTTTCTTTCTAAGAATACCTAAGAATGGACTTTTATGACTCTTAACAAGTGAGGTGAGAAAAGTCATGCATTTCTGCCCAAATCCCTTTCCTCGTGGCCTATGGCATTTCAGTTGGTTACTCCTACATGAAAGGATATCTTGAAGTCAATAACTTGGTCAGTAACAGAAAGCTAGGACTTCTCTCAACCTCTTATAAATACAACCCACCCCCTCCACCTGGGTCAATCCTCTTTGAGTATCTTTTTCATTAAGTTACTTACCTGTTCAAAACTTTGAATGATTCCTTATTATTCCATCTCTTCAAAGTTAAAGAATTTTATAATCTAGACATATTCTACGGTCAATAGCTATTTTCACATTAGATACTTCTCTTGACTAAATAAGAATAATAATATGGTGACGGTTGAACAACATGATGATCATAATTAATGTCACTGAATTGTATATGTAAAGATTGTAGAAATGGCAAATGATCTGTTACGTATATGTTGTTGTTGATGATATTGTTAGGTGCTGTATTGTTGGTTCCAACCCACTGTGACACTGTGTATAACAGAATGAAACACTGCCAGGTCCTGCACCATCCTCACAATCATTGCTGCGTTTGAGCTCATTGTTGCAGCTACCGTGTCAATCCATCTCATTGAAAGTCTTCCTCTTTTGCTGACCCTGTACCATACCAAGCATGATATCTTTCTCCAGGATCTGGTTCTTCCCAATAACATGTCCAAAGTACTTGAGATGGAGTCTCACCACCCTCACTTCCAGGGAGCACTATGGCTGTACTTCTTTCAAGACAGGTTTGTTCATTCTTTTGGCAGTCAACGGTATATTCAGTATTATCTGCCATCACTATAATTCAAGGGCATCAGTTCTTCTTCGGCCTTCTTTATTCATTGTCCAGCGTTCATATGCATGTGAGACAACTGAAAATATCACGGCTTGGTTCAGGCACACCTTTGACTTCAAGGTGACATCTTTGCTTTTTAATAGTTTAGAGAGGTCTTTTGCAGCAGATTTGCCCAATGCAGTACTTCATTTGATTTCTTGACTGCTGCTTCCACGGGCATTGACTGTGTATCCAAGCAAAATGAAATCCTTGACAACTTAATATTTTCTCTGTTTATCGTGATGTTGCTTATTGGTCCAGTTGTGAGGATTTTTGTTTTGTTTATATTGAGGTGTAATCCATACTATAGTCTTTGATCTTCACATTAAGTGCTTGAAGTCCTGTTCACTTTCAGCAAGCAAGGTTGTGTCATCTGCCCATCGAAGGTTGTTAATAAGGTTACCTATATACTTACGACAATTATAAAAAAAGGAACAAAACAAATAATAATTATTATAATAACACTGCTGTTTTTAATTGAATAACCTCTGTTCTATGTACTCTCCTAAGAGCTGCTTTCATTTAATCCTTACGGAAAATTTATGCATTAATCCGATTATCTTATTCTTACTATCCCCATTGAGCACATGAGCAAACTGAGGCTCAGACAGTTAACTAACTCAAGGTCACACATCCATGCCTGTTTTCATCATGCTCTTAAATATTGCACATCCCTGCTACCACTTCTCCCGGTGTATTGTTCCCCTTACATAAAATGCACTGTCTTTTTTTATTTTAATTCTATTGTTGTAAAAATATAAAGAACACAGCATTTGCCATTTCAACCTTTTTCACAAGTACAGTACAATAAAAACAATTACATCAATCATATTGTGCAAGCATCACCAATATTCACTGCCAAATATTCCATCCCCATAAACAAAAACTTTATGTTACTTAAACAATGGTTCTCCCCTTTCTCTGTCCCACTTGTCCTCTGGTTACGACTATTAAAGTCTAATCTCTAAAATTTTGTCTATTGTAGATACTTCATATTAGTGAAATCATATAAATGCACTCTACTTATCTCTATTTATTTAAATCTTACACAATCTTCCAGGTCCACCTCAATTCCTACCTCCTCAAGAAGACTTTCTTCATGATTCTAGTCCTCATTGACTTCATTCACAATTCCTGGAGTAGCTCATTACTATTTTCATATTGTATGTATTTTGTCTTCTTCATCGGATCCTTTCAAAGGGTTGGTTCTCATCTTTTACACCTCCCAAAGGTTCTAGCACTGCTCTGGAAAGATAGAGCATGCTCAGTCAAAGCTTCCTTATTTGTAAACACTTTCAAAACAAATACTGATCTAAAAGCCAAAAAGCCCTTGTTAAAGCAAGTACTTTTTTGAGCTCTGTGTCTTGCACAAGTGATGTTGACTTGCTTCTGAGAGATTCTGCAAGTTGCTAGTTTTCGGGAGTTGATCTCCAGGCCAAGTTACCAGAGAATATTTGCACCTTATTTGAATTAAAAGCAACCACTTAATGCATTGAAAATACTTTTTGGAGGTGAATTCCTTTTGGGGCTGAAAGCCATCTGATGTATATTCTCATAAGGATAATTTGAATCTCGGTTTTTGCAGGGAGAACCAGAAGAGATCAACATTGATAACCTATGTGACAATATGATTGACGCCTCACTCGGTTCACCATATGATAGATTCACAAAAATTGCACAGTTATTCCTTAAGAGTAAACAAAAGGATTGCCTTAGTGCAAATTATAGTGATGAGATGGAAAAATTGTCTAACTCTTACTTGGACAACCTACGTATTATGTATGGTAATGTATTATCTGGTTAATATGGAAAACTTTCCTTTTGGGGTTGAACAATGTGAGTACAACAATGTGCATTAAACACTCTTCAAATTGTGAGGCTGCATTAAGCCTTCTGAAGAATTATGAAAGAATCACAACTAAGGGTTTGAGAATCACAACTCAAGGACAGGAAGAGAAAGTGAATGAGTTGATGAACTAGACATACACAGATTAAATCACTTTAATAAGAGAGGCACAAATACCAAATGCTCAGGATTGCAAGGTGCAGAATAAAGAAAGGTGCCCCTTAGTGCTCTTCAGCATGGATCAAATGTCACTGATACCAAGAAAATAGCTCACCCCACTTCAAATTCCATATACAGCAGTTGTCAAAATGATTGCACTCTAGAATGACCTAACCTGTTGTCTTCGAGTTGATTCAACTCATGGTGATCCCATATGTTACAGAACAGAACTGCACCATAGGGTTTTCTTGACGATAATCTTTTCGGAAGCAGATTGCTAGGCCTTTCTTCTGTGGCACTGCTGAGTGGGGTCAAATTGTCTACTTTGGGTTAGTAGTCAATTACAAATCATTTGCAACACCAAGGACTTTGTGTCTTCTACTAGCCTATTTGAAATCCAGTATAATAACAACTTGAAGCTATCTCCAGTACAACTACTTCTTAAAGTTTTTAACTACTATATTTTTATGGAAATAATGCACGTCTTCTAAGTGTGCCAACCTCGCCCTCCACCTCCCCCTCCCAAGATATTTTCCTAAGCTCAGTATGCTAATTTTTTACAGCTACATGTAAAGAAATTGATATAGCGGTGCTTGTGAAAATACCTCTGGGGTGGTGGGAGAGGGTGTGTTTGGCAAAGATAAAACTTACGTGTTATTTGCATAAAAAGACTGTAAATTACTCAAAGACATGTGAATCCTTGATATAGCTGCTATACTTTCTATATATTGAACCTCTAAGTTATCATCCACAGTTTGATCCATTGATTTACTCATCCTACCAATACTGGTGACCTCTGGGGAAGAAGTTGCAGTCCAGTGTGATTAAGGTTGAGGAGATGGTGAGGACAGGAGCATTGAGTGTGCATCCCTTCTTCAAGAACCTTTTCCAAGAAGGACCTGGGAGATTCTAAGGGGGAGTTAACTAGAGGAGGAAGCAGAGAGAAAGGAGCATATTCCCACAGAGGCTGGAAACAGAGGACAGACAGTGAGACAGACCTGAGGTGCTCATAAAGATGGTCCTGGAACTAGAGAGGTTTTACTTCAGGAGCATGTGGGGTTTTCGCCAGCACCTCCTTTTCGTTGGACATAGTTTCACTTCTTGGTGTGATAATGTTGGACATGACAAAAATAACTTTGCAATAATGAGATCAAATTTGTTTTAGAATGTCAGGAGCAGCAAGTAAATTAGAATACTTAAATTTTTTTAAGCTTTTTACTTGGTCATGGACAAAAAATGTCATTTCTGGTTAAGTCAACCTCCGTTTTGCTTTCTAGAGGCAATGGTTCTATCAGTGTTGCACTGCATTTGGCTTCTTTAAGACCACGGACTCAAAGAACAAGCCCTTCTCTGGAACACCTCTCAGGTAAAGGCTCTGCCTTGAATTATGTTTGTCACTAGAAACCATGATTGCAGAGTTTTGGGTTTTTTGCTTTTCCATATTTAAAGGGAAGAATAAATTTATCAGATTGGCCAGTCCCAAACTGGTGAAAAATTAAGGGAGAAATCATCTGGATGGAAATTTGAGAAATCAAAAATATTCCAGTATGATATATAGAACAAAATCTCAGATTTCTGAATACCTTATATAGTGGCTACCAGGAAACAGACTATAAGTTTTAGAGTATTAATAAGAATAAATACATTAGTAGACTCAGTCTTACTTATTACTACTATGGGGTCATTTTATTTAATACTTTTTTACCAAGAAAGAACTTTGTGTGTTTATTGAAAAATCCAGTTAAGTAACATGATGACAGCAAAGTTGCAAGTAAAAGAAGATAAATTGTCCATCTCTTCTGAATTCAGTTAGCCAAGATTTGCTGGTTGTATCAAGCAGGACAGATCTCCCTTAGTCAACTTTATTCTCATTGGTTTATGATCCTTTGTTCATATTTACTGCATTCGTAGAGCAAGATATGGTTCCTGAACTCTAGAACTGTGCACTAGAAACTGAAGCTAATAAATATGAAGAAACTTAAATGCAATTTGACACTTAAAATTGCAGGAAAGTGATTCTTTACTTGTAAGTAAGTTTGTGTGTGTGCAGATATTTTGTACACAAAAATGCATAGACATTATAACACATAAAATAACTTGAAGGATAAAATCATGATAAAAGTATACAGTTGGGGGAAAAGTATGAACTTGGTGCGTATAGTTTCTCCTATCAAATTCCCTAAACCCTCAAATTCCCTAATGAGGAATGGAGCTATGAATTAATCAAAGTCAAAGGTATTAACTGGACCACACTTTTTAAGAGTGGTGTCTAGGGTGAAGGTACCTGTATTGCGGCAAACATCTACTGTAGCCTCACTTCTTTTGGTGTCTGTTCCACCAGTGTGGAGAGAAGACCCATCTACCTTTTTAGCTCTTTGTTCCTTTGCATGTCGTTTTTTGCTTCTAGGACATACAAGGGGAATTCTTGCTATTTTTTTGGCTCCCTTCTTCAGTCTTTCTTATGGGTTCCAGACCCTCCAGGATAGAGCAACTGAAATTGGATGTGTGGAGGAGGCCTGAGGCACACCTTTAGGCATTGGAGACAGTCTCTGGCTCTCACTGCCTCTGTGCTCTCTTCCTCCTCAACAACCAGGCAGGTTATGCGTTGAACATCCTTCCTCCCTAAGTGGTTACTAGTTTAGGTGTCACCCTAATACTTCACAGCATGTTTTCTCCTTTTTCAAATGGATGAATGAGAGCTTGACCTAACTAATGCTATGATGAACCTTTAAGTGTTTTTCTGCCTGCCTTCTCCTTTTCGCATACCTTTCTTAATGAATTTGTTTTTCTCTGTCTGGCCACCTGTGACTTATGATCCCCTACATGGGGATTAGAGCCTAGATGTCCAGTATGTATATCTTTAGCCTTATAAGGAGAAGTCTGTCATGTATCTCTTTAGTATGACAAAGAGTCTCGTGTAATTATCTTGTAATGAATAACTCCTCCAGCCATGTGATCTGTGTGCTATAAAGACATTTCCAATCCTTGTAAAAATCATAAATAAGCTCTAATCTAAAATTGCCATTTGGAACTTCACAAAGACAGCCTGTGCTGTTGTCGGAGTCCCTGTTGGTGCCATCTGATAAATAAATTTTCTCTCACTTTCCGACTTGGAGTACTTTTCATTAGCTCGACTGCTTCAGGTCATGGACCCTAATCGGGCAACACAGTCTTAAGTGCAGGTTCATTGGGAAGGTAAAGAACGGGCTTTTCTGCTTTTCTTGTTCTGAAATCATAGGTGGCGTCCAGGAAACAGCAGTCTGTGGTGACTACAGCCTCCTTACTAAGGCTCTACATTGGGTAGGCCTAGCTGCAGATACAGAATAACTTTTCTGGCCACGTTCTTCTCATGCTTAACTACTAACGAAACTAATAAGAGGAATAGGTCGGCTAAATAGATAGATAGATAAATAATTTTCTTCTTAAACTGATGAAATTCTTTTAGCTATTTTAAGTAACTCAGATTCTCAGAGGAAAACAAAATAACTGAAAAAAAAAAAAAAACCACCACACTTTCTATAGATATCTTTCATACACTCCACAACCCTGTTCTCCAGCTCTTACAATTTTCTCTCATTTTCTTTGCAGGCACGGTTTTCACTTATGTTCAGATGTCTTTGGCCCTGAGTTCAGTAGTGATTTAGTGGCTCAGAGTGTTAAGACCACCAACAAGTACTACGGTGGCTTCAATGTGAATGGAAGCAAAATCATCTTTTCCAATGGTTCCAATGATCCTTGGCACCATTTGGGAATCACAATGGATATCAGTAAAGATTTGCCTTCTGTCTTCATTAAAGGTAAAACAGTTCTGAATCATCAAAGACCCACAGATAGGATGAAATATATCCACATGTAATAATAAATTAAGGAGGCAATGAAGGTTCAGTTGTTGGAATCCAGCCTTCCATGAGGGAGACCTGGATGGATTCCCAGCCAATGTATCTCATCTACAACCACCACTCGTCTGTCAGTGGAGCCTTGGGTATGTCCATGATACTAACCACGTTTCAGTGGAGCCTCCAAACTAACCTAAGACAAACTCTGTAGGAAGGTGTGGTCTATTTCCAGAAATCAGCCTTTGAAAACCTTATGGATCAAAATGGTTCAATCTGCAACCAATCATGGCAGTGACACAGGACCAGGTATCATTTAGTTCTGTTGTGCATGGGGTCAGCATGTGTTGGGGGCTGACATGACAGCAGCTAACAACAGTAACATTGATAAATTCCTTTTGATATTGTTATCGACAAGAAACACAAAATACTTCTAAGCAGGTGATAGGTAGTTCATTTAGTCTTCACTAGTATGTCATCATCATGATGACATCTAAAAAGAGCACCTTAAAAAAGTACTTATCAGCACAGAAAGAAAAGTACATATAAAATGAACAATTTCTCTACTGTTGTCATCATTGGTTTTGTTTTGTTTTTTTATAAGAAGTTTATATGGTTGCAGATAATCAAGTGAGATGAGGTCTTTTTCTTCTGTGAATGTAATTGCTCATTAAAGGAAGTTATTTTATCTTAGAGCTCTGAACACTGGATAAATGGGTGTCCAACAGCACAATAGCTTAGTTCATAGAACACTAACCTTACTTGGAGCACACAGTCTCTCCATATAATCCCTTTTACATGTAGTGGTTCATAAAATTAGTTGAAAAATAATCTCAATTATCTATTTTTAATACTGGATAAAATGTGTATTCCCGCTTCAAAATAAAAAGTGACTGCTTATTATGCTAACGGGATATTTACAAAAGCCCTCACCATAGTTTCCAGCTCAAAGTCCCTGGAAAATGTAAGCCTTAGTCAATGGAAAGTCAATCTCTTAAATATGCAACTCTTAATATTTAAAAAAGCTATCTTAAAGAATGAAAAAAGGCCTCAAGGAGCAGCATTCTTGGCAGGGGAAATGTAGCAAATGTGTTGATTGCAGAGAGAGATTCAAATGATAACTATGGTTGGTTCGTAGATGTTTAACCATTTCATCATCGGTGGGTAGTAGGTTCCTTTATAGGAAAAAGTATATTTGCTTAAAATAATGTTCTGTTTAATATTTCCTCTATGGTTTATAATAATCAATGATAAGTTGAGCAAAAACTTTGTTTTCTACCCAGATATTCTTTCCTCTGTGATATTCTTTTTATATTACATCCTCAAGGTTCCTTTTGTTAAATTATTTTTGTAATATTTCAGACTTTCAAAAGTTTGCAGTTATTCAGAACTTCTATATAGAGTAATCCCACCACTCACTGTCAGATTGTCATACTATGGTGGCTTGCATGTTGCTATGATAGTGGAAACTATGCCACCGGTATTTTAAATAGTAGCAGAATTACCCATGGTGAAGAGATTAAAGCAGAGCTTCCAGACTAAGACAAGCTAGGAAAAAAAATCTTAGTGATCTACTTCCATAAATTAACCATTAAAAACATTATGGATCACACCAGAACATTTTCTGACTTGCTTACTTTGGATACATCATTAGGAGGTATCAATCGCTGGAGGAGAACATCATGTTTGGTGAAGTAGAGGGCCAATGATACATAATAACATAGATGGAGTCAAAGTTTCGGGACCTCCATTTGCTGATGTGGCGTGACTCAAAATGAGAAGAAACAGTTGGAAACATCCATTAATAATCAGAACATGGAAGGTACAAAGTATGAATCTAGGAAAACTGGAAGTCATCAAAAATGAAACAGAATGCATAAACATCAATATCCTAGGCATTAATGAGCTGAAAAGGACTGGTATTGGCCATTTTGAATCACAGAATCATATGGTCTACTACGCCATGAATGACAACTTGAAGAGGAATAGCATCACGTTCACTATCAAAAAGACATTTCAAGATCTGTTCTTAAGTACAACACTGTCAGTGATAGAACGTCCATACGTCTACAAGGAAGACCAGTTAATATGTGTAGTACTCAAATTTACACACCAATAACAAAGGCCAAAGAAGAAACTGAAGATTTTTACCAACTTCTACTGTCTGAAATTGATCAAATATGCAATCAAGATGCACTGACAATTACTGGTATTTGGACTGTGAAACTGGGAAATAAAGAAAAAGGATCTGGAGTTGGAAAATATGGCCTTGGTGATAAAAATGACAAGATTGTGTGATTGATTTTGCAAAACTAATGACTTCTTCACTGCAAATGCCTGTCTTCAACAACATAAACAGCAACTATACACGTGGACCTCACTAGATGGAACACACAGGAGTCAAATCAGCTACATCTGTGGAAAGAGACAATGGAAAAGCTCAATATCATCAGTTAGAACAAGGCCAGAGGCCTACTGTGGACAAGACTATCAATTGCTCATACATAAGTTCAAGTTGAAGTTGAAGAAAATTAGAACAAGTCCACAAGAGCCAATGTATGACCTTGAGTATATCCCACCTGAATTTAGAGACCATCTCAAGAACAGATTGATGCATTGACCAAAGACCAGATGAGTTGTGGAAGGACATCATAGATGAAGAAAGCAAGAGATCAATAAAAAGGAAAGGAAAAAAAAATAGATCAAAATGGATGCCACAAGACACTCTGAAAGTTGCTCTTGAACATATAGCAGCTAAAGGGACAGGAGGAAATGATGAAGCAAAAGAGCTGAACAGAAGATTTCAAAGGGTGGCTCAAGAAGACAAAGCAAAGTATTATAATGAAATGTGCAAAGACCTAGAGATAGACAACCAAAAGGGAAGAACACACTGGGCATTTTTCAAGCTGAGAGAACTGAAGAAAATAATTCAAGTCTTGAGGTGTGTCTCAGTCATCTAGTGCAGCTCTAACAGAAGTACCACAAGTGGATGGTTTTAACAGAGAGAAATTTATTGTCTTCAAAGTCCAGTAGGCTGCAAGTGCAAATTCAGCACATCAGCTCCAGGAAAAGGCTCTATCTCTCTATTGGCTCTGGAGAAAGGTCCTTGTGATACCTCAGTCTTTTCTTGGTCTGGGAGCATCTCAGCGCAGGAACCTCAGGTCCAAAGGACGCGCTGTGCTCCCAGAACTGCTTTCTTGGTGGTGTGAGGTTCCCATGTATCTCTGTTTGCTTCTCTCTTTTATATCTCAAAAGAGATTGCATTAAGACACTAATCTTGTCAACCTCATCAGTATAAACTCATCACAGTGATAGAATTTACAACACATGAGGAGATGACATATAATCTCATCATAGTGGTAGAGTTTACAACACATAAGGAAATCACAACAGATAACACAATCGTACAATACTGGGAATCATGACCCAGTCAAGGTGCTACACACATTTTTGGGGGGACACAATTCAATCCATGACAAGGTGCAATATTAAAGGATTCCACAGGGCAAAATATTAAACAATGCAGGATGCATCAAAAGAACATGAAAGGAATACACAGAGTCACTGTACCAAAAAGAGTTGGTCGACATTCAATCATTTTAGGAAGTAGCATATCATCAAGAACCGATGGTACTGAAGGAAGAGGTCCAAGCTGCACTGAAAAGGCATTGGTCAAAAACAAGGCTCCGGGAACTGATGGAATACTAATTAAGATGTTTCAACAACTGGATGCAGTGACGGAAATGTTCACTGGTCTATGCCAAGAAATTTGAAAGACAGCTACTTGGCCAACCTACTAGAAAAGATCCATATCTGTACCCATTCCCAAGAAACATAATCCAACAGAATACAGAAAATATCAAATAATATCATTAATATCACACACAAGTAAAATTTTGCTGAAGATGATTCAAAAGCAGTTGCAGCAGTAGATCGACAGGGAATTGCCAGAAATTCAAGTCGGATTCAGAAGAGTAGGTGAAATAGGGGATATCATTGCTGATGTCAGATGGATCGTGGCTGAAAGCAGAGAATACCAAAAAGATGTTTACCTCTGTTTTGTTGACTATGCAAAAGAATTCAACTGTGTGGATCATGACAAATTATAGATAACACTGTGAAGAGTGGGAATTCCAGAACACTTAACTGTGTTCATGAAGAACCTGTACTTACACCAAGAGGCAGTCGTTTGAAAGAACAGAGGTACTGCATGGTTTGAAGTCAAGAAAGGTATGTGTCAGGGTTGTATCCTTTCACTATACTTTTTCAGTCTGTATGCTGAGCAAATAATCCGAGAAACTGGACCATAAGAAGAAGAACGTGGCATCAGGATTGCGGGAAGACTCATTAACAACCTGTGTTACACAGATGACACAACCCTGCTTGCTGAAAGTGAAGAAGACTTGAAGCACTTACTGATGAAGATCAAAGATCACAGCCTTCCATATGGATTACACCTCAACATAAAGAAAACAAAAATCTTCACAACTGGACTACTAAGCAACATTATGATGAACAGAGAAAAGATGGAAGTTGCCAAGGATTTCATTTTAATTAGATCCACAATCAACGCCCTCAGTAGCAGCAGTCAAGAAATCAAGCGGCACATTACATTGGGCAAATCTGCTACAAAAGATTTCTTTAAAGTGTTAAAAAGTAAAGATGTCACTTTAGGGACTAAGGTGCACCCTGACCCAATCCATGGTGTTATCTATCGCCTCATATGCATGTGAAAGCTCCACAATGCATAAGGAAGGCCAAAGAATTAATGCCTTTAAATTATGGTGTTGGCAAAGAATATAGAATATACCATGGACTACCAGAAGAATGAACAAATCAATCTTGGAAGAAGTACAGCCAGAATTCTCCTGAGAAGTGAGGATGGCGAGACTTCATCTCACATACTTTGGACATGTTATTAGGAGGGACCAGTCTCTGGAGAAGGATATCATGCTTGGTAGAGTAGAAGGTCAGTGAAAAAAGGAAGACTCTCAACGAGATAGATTGATGCACTGGTTACAACAATGGGATCAAGCATAACAACAATTATGAGGATGGCACAGAACCCTGCAGTGTTTCCTTCTGTTGTACATAGGGTCACTATGAGTGGGAACCAACTTGATGGCACCTAACAAGAACAACATTAATTTGTTGATTTTGCATTCTTATCTTAAAAGAATCCATTTAGTTCAGACAACTTCAACAGAGGCAGTGCCATCATCAACAGGGCAATAATTGGTTCTTGGGGTTGAAATAGTCCACTTTTTACATATAAAACAGATGCATATACAGTACATGCACTATGTATACTCAGTACAGAAAGAGATACACAGTGTATTTGGGCTATTAAAATTTTACGGGGAGGATTGAATAGGGGAAAATGTTCAACATGGCTCCTTAAGGAGACAACAGTGGGAAAAAAAAGGTTAAGAAACTCTGCTCTAGCTGCATTGAAAGGTGTTGAATTAAGTATCTGTATTTGTGAATCTTAGGAAGATAACCATAATTGCAAAGTTGTCAATAATGTTATAGTACTTCAACTATTACTCTTACTACTGTATTCTTTCTTTTGTCCCTATTCAGCTAGCTTAACCTCTACTGCCCAGCTGTGACAGTAGTAAGTCAAATTAGCTTATCTGTTATAAATTTATCTAATTCTAATAACTGAATTTTTTACTTGAATATCTGTAGCTTCATTTAAAACTAATTTTTAAATGAAAGATAATAATGCAAGTAATACTTAAGATAATTCTCAGATTCTCCCTCCCTTTGCTATCTAGAGGCTGATTATTCATTGAACAGATATTTATTAGGCAACTGCTAAAAGGAGGGAAACTCTCAATGAAATGGGTTGCCCCAATAGGTGCAAAAATGGATTTAAACACACCAGTAATCGTGAAAATGGCTCAGAAGCGGGCAACATTACGTTCTGTTACATAGAAGGCCGCCATGAGTTGGAGCCAAATTGAGGGCAACTAACAACAAATAACAACAACATGCACAATGCACGGAAATTCAGTAGCAAAAAAACAAAGAAAACTAACAAATAATTTCCTCCTTGTCTTTGTGGGAAAGGAAAAATGATCATTAATTACAAAAGTAGTCATTTAATTAAAATTCTTATAATGCTTACAAAATAGAAGAGTAAAGACTAGAATACATAATATGAGACAGCATATATCATAAGGAACTGGTCTTCTTGGAGATTAACAAGAACTTACTTCAAGAAAATAATTTCCAGTTGAGATCTAAATGGTATAAAGCATGGGGAGGGGAAGGGGAAGACAGAAGAAAGAAAATGTGTAAGGCCTTTGAGCTTGGCTTTGTGGAGGAATCAAAAGCTACTGGTTTGACTAGAGAGAGAGAAACTAAGGGTAGAGAGATATGGAATGGTGCTGCTGGACAG